TAACATCATTTAATAATAGCAATTGATAACTGTGAAATTGCTTTAACTGAACGATATCTTTTTTCACAACTTAATATTATATTAATGAAATTGGTAATATATAAAAAAAATAGTATAGAACTTATTATGCATTATATTATATAACATTATATTATTTAAAAAGCATTTATATATGTAAAATAAATGCTTTGTATAAATGCTTGACTTTATTAATTGTGCAATAAAAAGAGAGGTTTTAAAACTAAAATCGGTTCAATGCTAATAAGTAGCACAAAAGATATTATCAAATTAAAACAAAAAAATCTAAAAAATAACTTCTTTAAAAAAAAAAGACCTTTTTATTTTACAATTTAGAAGCTTAAGGGATAATAGTTATACAAAAATGTATACAATTTTTAAATGCTAACATTTTAAGCAATACAATTGTATATAATAATATAATTATTAAAAATGTATTGTTTTTTACTTTTGTCTACCACCTGACCCATTGTAAAGCCCTTTGAGGTTGTTTTTAAAGATATATTTCAAATATTTATAACTTTTATTATATTCTTCTATTTGTTATTTTAGATTAATTAATATTAGAAATAAACAAGAAACATCGCTTCCAACACCCAGGGCCTCTCTCGAAGAGGTCCTTCAACAAGAGGTATTCAAATGGGAGTATGGATGAGTCCTCTTTCAAATGGAGGGCAAATCAATACCGGGGTGTTGAGAGACACCTATGAACAAACAGTAACAAAAGAGTTATAAATAACTTCTATCAGTTATGATTTTTATTACTTTTTTGTTGCTGCTTTTTCTTCGGTGATTTTTTTTTTTTATATTGTAGTTTTTCTTTTTAATTGTATGTATTTTTAGTTGTATGTATTTTTTTTAATTGTATATATTTTTAATTGTATGTATATTTTTTTAATTGTATATTTTTTATTTTTTTCAATTTTTATGTTTAAATTTGTATTTTTTTTTGTTTTTATTTTGTATTTTTTTTTAATAATATGTTCTGTTGTATATTTGATTTGTTTTCGTCTTAATACAGTTAAATCAAAATACAGTTAAATTGATTCATTATCCAATTATCATAGTATAATGATGCTACATTCAATTGTTAAAAATAATATACTGCACTTGCTGCTTTTAAAATTTACTATAAGCCAAGTCAATATATTTAGCTATATAAATGCAATTAATTTATATATCAATTTATTTTTTATCTTAAATGTTTATAGTTTAGCTCCTCAAAGCATTTTATTTTGCTTTTTATATAAAATATTTTAAATATATCGTGATTTCTTCTAAATTAAACTAAAGTTTACTGAAAGCCAACATTAAATAACGTCATTAAGCAACACCGACAAGAACTGCTGCATTATGACAGTAACTAAAGTATTGTAACAGGTTACCAAAAGCCGGTAAATTGTTTTCCCGTAATTTTTTTTAACTTTTTTATGTCTACTTTTTTAATACCTTTTTATATGCCTACTTATCTGTTACAATTTTTATTTTAGGTTTGTCGGATGACGCAATATAAAAGTTCAAAGTTAACATTTCTTTTTTTAATTTGCTATACACATCTTTGATTGTAAATTATTGTTATTTTTTTTGAAACGTTTTTGTACTCAATTGCTTAGTTATTTATAATAAACTTAGTTATTTTTAATAAATTTATTTAGTTAAGTGCATTTTAAACAAATTTAACCTGAGAGGGGATACCAAAAGTTAATAACTCCTGTATAATATAATTTAAGTTAACTTCATGATAATATTAATAAATAATTAAGGTTTATGTTATAAAAAATATTACAAGAGTTTAATTGATATTTAAAAAGAATGGCGAATATATTATATGCCCATATATTTTGTATTGAACTTTGAAATGTCGATAAAAATGGTTATGCCTTACACTTGTATGACCTATGTCAATTGTAAATTACTCCAATGTGTTAAACAATAATTAATAAATTATTTTACCTCCTCATACTTATGTTAATTTTACCGAAAGATAAATTTATTCAATTTAAAGGCGTTTTTCTAAAAGGAATTTAGTTAAGAATTCGCAACTTTAAATTGTGGAAAACAGCCACTATAAATTAATTATGTAACAGACCAACCATGACCCGTATTACGGGTTAATTTTTGCTGATATATATTAATGACTTTCAAAAACACACACTCACACACACAGGTTTTTTATTTTACATAGCATTTTATTTAATGGAATAGTTTACTGCAATGTTATAGGTAATTAACAAATCAATAAGTTAATCTAGATCTGCTAAATCACATTATATTAAGAGTAGTTAAACAAGATTAAAGTAAAATTCATGCAATAGGTAATGCTGAAAGCAGTTATAAATTATATAAATGTGTCTTTAAAAATGCGATAGGCTTTACTGAGGATTGATGCTTGGACATTAGCTTTTGACAATAAAACTATGATAGAAAATTTATATCTAGATATATCAAAAGCTTTCGACACATTTCACATTTATCTTCTACTTCTAAAATTAAAAGCTTATAGAATAGGTGACAAACTCTACAATTGGATTAAATGTTAGCTAAGAGATTTGATAATTAATCAAAAAGGATAATGGTACATAGTAAGGTACCACATAATTTACTTTTATGATATATACTAAAGATTTTTCTGAGATGGCTTTAGATGTTGTATCTGTACTTGCAAATGATACTAAGTTATCCAATTTGCTTTCTGATGCATTAACCTGCAGAAAAATATGGACACATAAAGCAAACTCGGCAAAACTATGAAAACTAAGTTTTAATGTGAAAAAATGTAAAGTTATGCCCTTAGGACCAACAAACACAAAATTCATTTATATACTCGTCGATACGAATCTCAAAACATTAATCAATTCTCTTCAATAAAAACTTTGTGATCTTCATTGACAGTAATTTGATTTTTATTTCGTTAGTACAAAGAACAACACTGCCTATAAAACTGTTGGATTAATTAAAAGATCATTTCTCAATCCAATATCTTGACATTTTGTACTCTGTTTATTTTCTTTGTTTGTCCTCACCATAATTCTTGCAGCTGTCTACTATCATAGGCTTTAAAAAGATCCACAATTAATTGTAAGTGTTCTAAACAAGTCTAGTAAATCTGTTTTTCTGCCAGACTGGACTCAATTACATCCAAAGACTACTGAGACTATATTTAACTAGCATGAGCTATCAATTCTTGCTTAATGACATGGCAGAAACTTACAAATACATTCAATCATTATAAATGTAGTTACAACCCTTTTGTTTCCTCGTTAAATGCCATTCAGTATTTTATCTAGTCAACACCTGAGTTAGAGTGATGTCATCTGCACGACCGTATTTGTTATTGTAATTACAGAGCATTAAGTAGTTAATCTGAGATGTAATAGCACGCGTGTCAATATAGCCATTTTCTAATATTATTATATAGATTATATTTTTATTTAGTATTTGTTCCTCCTTTATCACTAAACCCAACTAAACAACTTGCCCTCAAGCTTATAAATTGAAAAAAATGTTTCGTAAAATAAATGTCCGAAAAAACTTATTTAGTATGCAATTCACAAATTTGTAGATTAGTCTATTATCTGAAATAGTGTGCAACATCTGTTATAACGTTTAAAAAACATCTAGATGCATAATAGGTATATTAAATGTACGATTGCATATAAACATTAGACCGACACAAGTAGATACTATAGAACAGAAGGTTAATAGGCTTATTTTAAATACCTAATTATTCTATTTGTAAAATTATAACCTTAGAAAATAATAATAATAACAACAATAATAAAAATAACAATTCAAACAGTATCATGTTTTAATGAAATCAATTCTCATACTTGAATAGCAAACGTCGTTTGTCATTTTTTTAAATCTTAAATAGTAAAGTTATTCAATTCACTGTATGTTTACTGCCTTTCCAATCCACGCAAACTTTAAAATTCACTTTCTTTTACTAACCAATAATCAAACTCTACTTGATATCCAAAGCGATTACATTTTACATTGAAAAATGAAACTCAATAAATTTTAGACTAATATTTACAGTTAAAATAAATAATCAGAAAATTTAATCTGATGTATTTTCATATTATAAATTTATTTGTAATGATTTTTTTTTTTTGCTGCTGTACCGTTAAATTGAAAATGACAATAAAGTATAGAAAATTTGCTCTGGCTAAATTTTTTATTAAAAAAACAACAG